GAGTAAATTTAAGTTCCTGAAAATGTAGTTTCACAATTATAAATATTTTGGGCATTAAATTTTTGCTTTCAGTGAAATGCAGAAGGAGAAGGAAGAGTATGCTAATGGTATATGTAGTGGAATTTCAATGATGGAGATAATTATGTTACTAAGATAGACGAAGATATTGTTGATGGTGGATATAAAAATTTCAATGATGGGAAGAAAGAACAAATTGTTGATAATATTTATTATTTGGATGAGAAAAATTAAATTACCGCGAAATGTGTTTCACATTTTCTAATGTTTACCACTAAAATTTGGTTTCCAATGGAATGTAGGAGAAAAGGAAGAGATTGTTGATGGTGAATATCAGGTTTCATTAATGAAGATGATTTTCAATGATACCAAATTAAAGTGTAACTTGATTCGGAAAATTACTATTATTATTTGTACCACTAATATAGTTCATCCGGCCAGCGGACGGGTCCAAATCTAGTAATTTTAAGGTATAAAGCTTGGAGTTAACTCTTCAACCAAACTAAACAAAACGAATGGCATCTATCCCCGCCGCGCACTGCAGGCAGAAGCTTACAACTTACAGTGCATCAACCATGAAAAACCAAAACCATCCAAGAAATGAAGTTATCTCTGCAACGACGGTAAAAAAAAAAAAAAAAAAACCCATGACATAAGAGCTAGCCACGGTTTTAGTATCATTTAGCGACGACAATAACCATCGTTAATAGCTTTTACCACGGTCAGCGGACGCCGTTGGCGGTTGGACTGACCGTCAGGACATTTTCGCCACAATCTTTGGATCGTCGTTATTCTAAGTAGAGCCGTCGTTAAATTGGATATTCAAAATTGTATTCCGATATTAGCAGCAACGGTGGGGGGAAAATCCAGCCTCGTCTGGCATTCACTAGTTTTTTTTTTTTTTTTTTTTGTGTGTGTGGAAAATAGAAATTCAACAAAATTGATAATATTTTTAAATAACTCAGAACTGCATTAGACAAATGGCCACAAGAACATTCAACAATAGAGCGATGAAATCCTCGATCTGATCTCTTCTTCTTCTTCAAGTGGAAATTAAATCGTTAAATCAGGTAATAGCATATGCACGCATTCTGCTCACAGTCGCAACCCACATAATCAAACGACTTGCCGCACATGTCAGGGTAACTTTTGAAGCAGTTTTGGTCGTTGCAGATGTCATTACAGTAATACTGTGCTGAAGCATTTCTGAGTCGGTACAGATTTTGGTTCCTGCGCCTCAATTGTACGTGTACAACAATATCATAATTATTTCATTTACCTAGCTAGGATCTAATTAAGCTGCCATATGAAAATCTACTGTGCTGGATCAACACAACCCTAACTAATAATAATTAAGATGGCATGTAGCTGCTGGGTATCATTAGGATGACAATTACCCACCCATGAGGAATTATACCCAAACCCAAGTAGACTGTAGACCCATTGATAATGGGTTGGGTATGGGTGAAGTGTATATGGGTTTGGGAGTTTGTAGATGGGTTTGAGTAAATTATAAATATTACTTCCATAATCTAAATGAGTATGGGTTGGATATGGATATCCATTTACTTGAGGGTGTTTTAACTACACATGCAAATATTGGACCTATTGTAAAACTTGAAAATTTTAGGTACCAAAAACGTAAGACACAAAAAAATAGGTACCAAAACGTAATTTTCCATTGATATTTGAGGACTTATATGCAAAAAAAATTAAATTTAGGTACTAAATTTGCATATCTATTAAGTTTAGGTACTAAACTGTAATTTGTATTTGGGCATGGGTACTAGGCTGGCAATTTGGTCCAGGACTGTTTTGTTTTACCCGAAACCGGACCGGGAACGGATAGCAAACAATCCAATCTCATATTCGGGCTTAGATTTGAGGTAAAAAACCCGGATAGAGACCGGATAAGAGACCCCAACACTCAAATCCCACAAACTCAATCTAAAATCAAAATCAAATTGGGACCGGACCGGATCAAGACCGGAGTGTATCCAATCCAATCTTTGGTCCTTATATTCCCGAAAAGACCGGACTGGGACCGGATCAATTTGGTCCAATTTAACCGGACCGGACCGTATAGCCACCCCTAATGAGTACAAACCCAAATCCATTTGTTATAAGCCCACCCAACCCAAGTAAATGGGTATGGGTACAAACCCATCAAAGTCTACCCATATCCATCTATTTGGATTTCATACCCAACGCAATTGGGTTGGATAGTAAAAAACCCATGGGTATGGGCAAAATTGCCATCCCTAGGTATCAATGGAGCTTCAACGAGATGTAATGTTGTCAAGAACCGGTTGCTCCCAATAACTCGAGTTGTTGGAAGAGGTTCAGTCGCGTGGATCATATATATATATACCAATTACCACAACACTTACAAATGTAATATACCTGACATCGATCCGATGAGCCTCCGTAGTGCCAGAATCGTTGGGACGAATATCGCTGTCATTCCCCCATCGAGGAGCAATCGCTCTCGTCGATTCGCTCCAAGGCAGAAGGCCTGCATGCATGCGCTCAGGCAGATCATGAATACTACTCTAGATAATGGTGTGAAAATCATCATGAGAAGATCGATGGTTTGGGATATACAGTACGTACATGGAACTAGGATGAGCCATGAAGATATAGGGGAAGCAAGACGGCCAACTTAGTAAAACTAATCAGCTTCATCGCCAAGCTATATTTGTGTTCTTGAAAAGTTATGTACATGATTATATATACATGATTTAGGGTAACAGCTCAAGACTTGGTTTGTCTTCGCTTATGTGATTCCTTGATTCGAATTCTTGGTTCGTTTTTGTCTCGTTGGGTTTTTGCCGTCATTGAACCATTGGCATTAGGTGGGTTGTTTCATTGGGTTTTTGCCGTCATTGAAGAAAGACACATTTGTGTTTGCAGCCGTCTGACATTGGCTGTTACGTACGCTAACCTCCGTGCCCTAATTAGACTGAACCATAAGATTCATTTAATTAATAAAATAAAAAACCAATGGACGTTTGCGTACGTACGTAGGCCAGTGTCGTCGCGATGATCTCCTTTACCCCCGGCCGATGACCGACGGTTGACGCCCTAATCGCCGGCGAAGTTTCCATGGTTTTCTGTAATTCGGGTTGGGGTTTTCTCCCCCGTTCTTCTTTCTGTGATAGATCTCCTAGTTTTTACGGTGTAAACTCTTTGTATGTGCTGT